CCCAAGCCAGTTCCTAACTAACCAACGCGCTACTTGGCCAGCCCTCAGCTGAATAGTTTTATTAGCCTGTTTCATGATTACAAAATTTGGGGAGTTAGGTAGCCTTTTAAATTTTATCCTCTCTGTCCTTTTTCAGTCCAAGCTGACAATGTTTGTGCTGATATAACATTATCAAAAACCTGTGTGTCTCCCATATATGTCATGGGAATTTCTGCCATTGGAAAAGAGAGTCCTCTACAGGTCTTTCCTGGATAACACCATCTCTACTCCTGGCTTCTGCAGAGATAAGTAAGTTAGAAGGCATTTTCTTCTAGAAGGAAGGCAAGGTATGGGTGTCAGCCTGGAAAGATGATAAGGCTTTAGCAAAGAGGGTCAGCTGACTAAACAAATAATCCTGGATAAGGCTAGAACACAGCATTGGAAAAGGGCTTGTACCATGACCCAACAGGGTGTCTTGACTATCTTCATACAGATGGAGGCCCACGTGGCCACTGGCAGTGGCCCTCTCCTAGCACACCTCTGGGAATCTTATGAACCTACAAACTTTCAGAAGTTTTCTGGGGGCACTTGTAATGTACATCAATAAAATTTGACTTCCCTTGCCCTGAGAAAAGATCATAAAAGGACATATTCTGTAGTACAGTTAGTGACAGAAACTGTACAGAATATCATCCATGTCCTCTTTGTAGGAGAGAGGTGAACCCCACTATATGGCAACACACACACAAAAGTCAGTCTCAGTACAAGCCTGCAAATTGAGACAGGGTGGCTAACTTTGTTCTAACTGACTTGGAACCAGAAATAACCAAATCATGGCCAGTTGAAATGATGCCTGTGTGTATACAGGCAAGGTCAAGTTCTGTTGGGAAGGCATAACAAGTACTTCTGTAATTCTTACATATTTGTTCTGTAATGGAATTGAATTGTACCATGACCGTACTGTGACATGTTGTAACCAACACTAGTATAGTTGGGAAGATTCAATTATATGATGAAAATAAGATGGTAATTCTGATATCGGTGATCAAATATATCGGGAGATTAGATTAAAGCTTTCTCAGGAGTAATACCAATGGATAATGACTGGCCTGAGGAAGAACTAGATTTTGCTAACCATTAGCTAATTTCTATGCTGAATAAGTCTGTACAAGTTTATCATAAGATACAAACAGCAGTTGATCAAGCGAGGAGAAACAAATTAGTACAAAAATATGAAAATGTTTGTAATGGCTATAAAGGATGGATTGTTTATTTTATTTTTTAAAGATTTTATTGGGGAATTGGGGAAGGGGAACAGACAAGTTGCTGTCTTTTTGTCCTTCAGTCTAGTTGTGGAGGACGTCGCTTCACTGGCCCATGTTAGTATTATCATTGTGCTCTTCCTGGGTGAGGCAGATTGGTCACCGGGTCCTGGACGGCTACTCATGGTGGCTCTTGGTAGCTCACGCAGGCTGCTGGCCACTCACACTGGCTGCCGGCCACTCATGGTAGCTCATGGCAGCCCACTGCAGCTCCACTGCAGCCCACGCCGTCGCCGGGGACTCACAGCAGCCCAGCTCCAGGTCAAGCTGCCGTTCACCATCTCAGCTGCAGAGAGTGCAGCATCACTGGCCCCAATGTGGGATCCGAACCAGGGCCCTGATGCTCAGAGCTGGTGTCCCAAGCCAACTCCTAACCAATGTGCCACTTGGCCAGCCCTGGATTATTTATTTTTAAATGTTCCTTTAGCTCACACTGGCTCCTCCAAATATTAGGCATTTTTATATTGATGCTATTGCTGTCTCTGTTATATAGGTGTTATACTATCCTATGCTTAATATAAAAGTAACATAAATTTTCAAAGAAAGTCACAAATTTGCCACAACAGAGTCTATTATTTATGGCATGATCTACCTAAAAAGGGAAAAACACTCCCTGCTGATTAACACTATCCAAATTTATTCTAAGCCCCTCACAAAATGACAGTTGAGAGGATTTCTTAGTTTAGCCGGATATTCCATCAATGGGTACCAAAGTTTTCTGTGATTGTGACACCTTCTTTATGGATTGACTAAATCCTCAGTGAGAGGCTCTCTTCTTTGATTTTGTTTTTTATATGTTTACTTATAATCATTCTCATTTTCTATAAGCTCCTGGTGGTCACCTATGCAAAATGTCCCTTTTTCTCTTTTCTTCCCTCCTTATTATAATTGTTAGGCCAGAACAGTCATTATAACTCCATTCATAGATTATCCCATGCAGTAAGCCACTACCTTCCCTCTTACCAATTGCTGTGCGTGTCCTTCATGGCCGGACCCCCTTGATAATGAACCATTGGGCAGTTCCAGTCACACCAAGTGAGACCATACTGAATTCCAGCCAGTGGTTTTTCCTCTTACACCTACATGGACAGATGACTTTATGTGAATCTGTGACCTTGCTACGGTCCCTCTCTCCCAGAAAAAGAAACAAGTATTACAACCTGTTGACCAGGCCCTAGAGGACTCCAAATTTAAGATCAACAACCTTTATGGGTTGTAGACATTCTCTTCACCCTATATTTGGATTACAGAGATCCAGAAAAATAACCCAGCTAATGGAAGGTGTGGCTCTGACCTTGTGTTATAAAGAAGGCCTTTTTCCTCTATCTCCATGTGCCCCTACCAGACACTATTTCCTTCATAGTAGTCAGTTTGTCTTGTCCTATTTGCCCCAGACTAATACCTCATGCCCATGAGAAACAGCATTTTGAGGTCTGCCTGTACACAGAGACCTGAATCTGTAAATCGTCGAGGATGGAAATTCCAACTCGGATGTGAGCTCCAAAATGAGCGCACCTATGATTATTCGGGCATTCTACCAGGGGGAGGTATTGACTCATTGTTTATGTGAACAACCAGAGCAGTCATCCCAATGACAGAACAGAGACGACTGTGAGAAACATGTATGTGGTCTGACCATTGTCTGTTTGTCTGTTCAGTCTCTCAAATGGCCTGGTTGGAGGATTTCCAGTTTCTAGTCCAGCATGTAAGAAGCTTGAAAGGGGCCACGCCATTTTCGCAAGTAAAAAGCTGGAAAACAACAACAACAAAACCCTGAAAAAGTCAAAACTCTTCTTAGATCTGTAGTAGAAGTGAGGTCACAGGGCAAACTTCTGCCTCCCAAATTGGAGAGACTGACAGGCAAATACAGAGAATGAATTTACTGGAGCAGAACTCTAGAAATCGAAGCCTCCAAGTGCAGACTTAGGGAAACCTGAACTGTAAGTGGGGAATTGCTGGCGGCTCAGTGTGGATAAATCTGAGATACAAAATCTCCAGGGGGGCCCAGCCACCAAGGGGCCCCCACACTTTTGTGAGTTTTACCTCCCGGAGCTCTACCAGGTTATCACAGTGAATATCAGTGGAAAAATTCCCTTGTCATTCTGGCAGGTGGACGTATTTTGAAATCAGGTGAAACTATGTAACCAGAGCTTAACCTGTTAGGATTTTATCAGAGACTAACCTTAAGAATGGAAACACCCAATGCCAGCCCCCTGTAGCTTTCCACATGGGGGAAAGGAAATGCCCACCTCCAGCCCACTCTAGCCATCCTGCCACATCCGGTGGGGAGGGGGACTGAGAAGCACGTGTGAAACGCACAGTCCAGAGAAGCAGGCTCATAAAGACTGGGGCTTACAGAACAGATGCTCGTCTCCCACACCTCACCACCACGCTCCTAAAAGATTATTTACAACCATTGTTTTACCCAGTACCTCATGCCTGGCTATCAAGAAGAAATGAAAAGACATACTAAAAGAAAAAAAAAAGCTTGAAGCGACAGAGCAAGCCTCAGAACCAGACTCAGATATGGCAGGGATGTTAGAATTATCAGACCGTGAATGTAAAACAACTGTGATTAATATGCTAAGGGCTTTAACAGACAACGTAGACAGCACGCAAGAACGGGTGGGCGATGTAAGTGGAGAGATGAAAATTCTAAGACAGAACCAAAAAGAAATGCTGCATCGGGAATGGAGCAGGCTTTTGATGGGCTTGTTAGTAGACTAGGCATGGTGAGGAGAGACTCTCTGACCTTGAGGATATCGCAATAGAAACCTACAAAACCGAAGAGCAAAGAGAAAAAACAGACAAAAACAACAACAACAAAAAAAACACAGACTAGAATCTCCAAGAATGCTAGAACAACATGAAACATGTAAAATACACATAATGAGAATACCAGAAGGAAAAGAAAAAAACAGAAGAAATATTTGAAACAATAATGACTGAGAATTTCCCCAAAATGTCAGATACCATAGTATAGATCCAGGAAGCTAGAAAACACTAAGCAGGATAAATGCCAAAAATTATCCCTACACATATTTTCTAACTACAGAAAATCAAAGGACCATTTATTCATCTATTGATTTTTACTCATTGTTATCAGCACTTACACATTTTTTTCCCCAGTAGAATATCACAGATGACTACATAAAAATATTAAATTATGAAAGGATTCATAGAATTGGAAGCCAACTCTAAGTGAATACTTGGTGAAGATATTTTTTGTTTGTTTTTTAGATTTTATTGGGGAATCGGGGGAGGGAACAGCATTGGGGAATCGGGGAAGGGGAACAGACAAGTTGCTGTCCTTTTGTTCTTCAGTCTAGTTGTGGAGGACGGTGCTTCACTGGCCCATGTTGGT